CTCCTCTTCTTTTCTTTTTTTCCTCCCCTGGGCACCAGACAGTTTGGGACGTTTTGACATGTTGAGCTTGTTGACCCATCAAAAAACGACCACCGTGTAGCAGGTAAAGTCGGATTATTTGGAAGAGAGGGGAGGCGTCTTAGGCAGGTAGGCTATAATATTATTATTACTACTACTACTACTACTACTACTACTTAGTGGGCTTTGCTGCTATGCAGTTAAATTAATGTGGTGGGCTTATTCTTTTCTGAAGTCTAGTTTTAAGAATAGTGGAAGTTACACTTTTTTTCTTCCGCCATTTTGGGCGCCCCCTGATGTACGGCGCCCTTAGCATTTGCCTATACTGCCTATGCCACGGGCCGGCCCTGCGTGTCATACACCAAATCAAGCTTGTAAGCAGTGGTTCAAAGAAAATGCTGCATGCTTCATTGATCAATTATGTAGGTCCAATGTCAAACAATACCTACAACTTAAAACTACACACATGAACAAAGAAAAAAAGATTACCCACCCAAGTCTACTGCTGGTGGTGGTTTAGGCCATCACATGGTGAAGGCCAGGAATGAGGCCTTCACAAGCTCAAATAAAATATCATTAATCGAATAAGACCATTAGGAGTGGCTTTAACCAATGAGTTGAATTGTTTATCATGTTTTTTTATGAATTTTTCACAGTACAGGAAGTTGCCCTGGGTGATTTCAAATGATGTCATACAGACATCAAAGGAATGATGACGTCATCATCCTGTTCTACCTAACAGAGCAGAATACTACTGTAGCACAGAACACACAGAGCAGCAGAGAGAGTTAGACAGATATTCGATTGCAGGAATTTAGACTAAATTATTTTGTCTTAAATGGATAAAACACAAGAGATAGTTTTACCCAGTGCTGACTGGGAAAGAATCCAGTCTTTGTTAAACCAGCCTAAGCCCAAAGTGTACACCAGGCAGGAACTGGTCGACATGAATGCTCAGCGTGAGTTTGGCAGGGCAAGGAAACGTTTAATGAAACCCCTGGCACAAAAGCCAAGTTTAGTGGAAAAACAGAAGCAGGCAAACGAGGAATACTGGGACAGGCTTGTTGCAGAGGAGGCCGAATTTAAAGAACAGGAGCGACAGCAAACAATTGAAAGGAGCAATTTTATGAGGCTCCTACAGGACGACCGTGCCCGACAATTCAACAGTGTCCTCCAAGTGATACAGGTGACGAAAGAGAACGAGGTACTGGTTAAAATCAACCGAACCCGACAGAGAATCGAGGAAGAAAAAAGACAGAAGAAAGAGATAAGCCGTGAACACGAAGAAGCTCTGAGACAAGAGCAAAGGCAGAAGCAGGAGAATGCTTCTCAAAGGCGGCTTGCCAAACAAGCTTTGGATGCTTTTAATCTTCAGCAAGTGAAAGAGAAGCAGCAGCTGAGAAAGAAAGAGATTCAGCTGGAGAAGCAGAGCTTCAAAGAACTGCACACAGAGCAACCAAGAGATAAACAGGAACCAAAACTAAGGTGCTTGAAAAGTACATTGGAGGACATCGCCAATAAAAAGCTCCACAGAGAAATGGAGGCACGGAAACTGGAGGAGGAGGAAAAAGAAATAATGCATGTTCACTGTGACATAGAACAAAAGCTGCAGCAACGCAAAAATGACCAAGCAGAAAAGTTCAGAAAGCATCAGATAGCAGTACAAACTGTGTCGGACAATTTGGCCGCCCTAAAGAAGAAGCAGGAAGCTGCTGCTACAGCTGCAAGTGAGATGGCATTGTCTAAGGCTTTGGCCAAAAAAGAGGCTAAACTAGCAAAGGAGCAGAAGCAGAAAGAGGAGCAGAGGGCTGCAATGCTCAAGTCCATTTCTGCTCACAGAGAGGCAGTGATTCAAGAGAAAGAGCAGAGGGTGAAAGCAGAGCGAGAGAGCAGAAGGTCTCAGGAGTCTGACAGGTTGTTTCTAGAACGACAAAAACAAAAAGCTCAGAGGATCAGGGAAAACAACATGATGGTTCGCCGCATCAATGAGACCATCGTGGAGGAAAAATTAAGGCATGAAGAACAGCTTAAAGTGGAGGAATATGAGGCTGAGCTGAAGAATATAGCACAGACTGCTGAGAGAATGCAAAGGACCACAGGTCAAACTGTGTCTCTGCTGGCGGAAAGCTGCTGTCCAGACGTTCTCAGGTTAAACCTGTGAATTTTAAACAGCAGCACTATGTACACGAAGAGATCACTGACCTGCGACAGAACCCGGGCTCCTATGCATCTGCAGTACGTAAGCCCCAGCAGGCCTCTGCAGCACCCTCAAACACCCGCCTCCCACCCATTGGAAATACATTCAAAACCTAAAAGACCAGCCTCTTTTATTCCAACCTTGTACTAACCAGCTCGTTCCCCTCCTCGACACTAATTTTAACTATTTGAACTATTGGACCTGACCTGAAACATGCTCATCAAAACCCTATCCAAATCTGATATGCATAAATTCAAACACTCCAAAACAAAGAGACCTGATCCGAGGGAGAGCTGAGACCAACCTGCTCCTTTTCTGTAATTCACATTATTGTTATTCTCATTAGTCCTTCCCATGAGGACACTGTCCCTTCTTTTGTGTGGTTTTACTCCGGGTGCTCCGGTTTTCTTCCACTGTAAAAAAAAAATGAAATAAATAAAATTTAACTAAAAAGGCAAGTATGAATTGAATTTTGCAGAAATACACTCATAGGCCACATTAGGTACACCTGTACAACTGTATGCAATTCAGTGCAACACTTGCACCTTACAATTGTGTTCATAAAGCTAAAAAATGCCTCCGTTTTTGGCAGAATGTATAAATACAATTATATGTTTATTATGGAGGTCAGAGTTAATGATGGTGTTGTACGTGACTACATTATATTCAGAGATGTCTCTATATTTTTCTCCTCCCCAGCTACATACATGATAGGGTCATAAAATTAGGATATTAGGGATTTGGATATGCCACCGTCTGGTGCATAACATAATTACAAGATTCAAAGAATCTGGAGGGATTTCAGTGTATAAAGGGCAAAGGAGCAAGCCTAAACTGGATGACAGTGCTCTCCGATCCCTCAGACGGCACTGCATCTTGAATCATTACTCTTCTATAGGCGATATAACCACATGGGCTCAGGATTGCTTTTGCACACCTGTGTGAAGCACTACAATACGTAGCTACATCCATAAATGCTGCTTAAAACTGTACTGTGCCAAAAGGGAGATCCGTATCTACTATACATTATTTAAATACTTTTTTTTTT